GTGATGATGATGATGATGATGATGTTGATGATGATGGTGATGATAATGATGATGGTGATGATGATGATTATGATGATGATACGATGGTGATAATGATGATGATGATGATGATGATACGATGGTGATGATGATGGTGATAATGATGATGATGATGATACGATGGTGATGATGTGATGATGGGGATGATGATGGTGGTGATGATGATGGTATATTATGATCATACATGTTGAGACTTGATGATGACATTAATCGATACAATTTACCTGCAGTTTTTCTAGTGTTTTCTGTCGTCTTTGATTTAACATGTGCAAGATAATCACTAGTCATTACTATAGCAAATTCATCTGATCCTGATGTCAGTTTGAATAGTCTTACTTCATTCTTCTCCCACATATCATTCTAAAACAACAAATGATGATCTTCATTACAGCTGTAGCTCCAATTTCACACTACGTGACATTCTCTTGAGAATAAGATTCTTCGTTTGAGTTGTATCCATATTCATGTGCCTTTTCATGTGCAACCGTCAAACAAAGAAATGATACTCTAGGGAATGACACATGGTCTTAAATTGGAAATATACTATGCCAAAGCCAAAAAAAGGTATATTCCCTAGTTATAGTATAATAATATTGCTTGGACCCCATCTGGCATAACTTTATTAACCCGAAATATGGACTTACAAGTTGACGATCTACAATAGTCTTGTCCTTTATAATACTGTATAACTGATGTTTTAGAATTATTGCTGGTATTCTTCCCCTGAAAGCATTAACAGGGAATATGGACTTGAGGTACATCAATGCTGCTTTAGTATCATTTGGTATATCTGGTGAAAATTGAATGAAGAAATATTATATACATGTCATGACAATCTATGGGTGGACAACTTTTATCATCAAAGTCAGGACATCTCTAATTCATAGATTCCACTAACATCTAGCATGTTGGGTTTCGTGGAGGGTGAAAACAGGAGAAAAACCCTTGAATCAAGGGAGAGACCTAACAAACTCTACTCATACGTGATGCTGAGTCTGGGAATCGAACTCAAGACTCCAGACATGAGAAGCAATTGCACTACTTACCACTGTGCCACCCTTTATACCAAATGTAAGGATTTCGAGGATACTACACTTGATACCCTTTGTTTGACTATGCAGATTAGTGTAGTTTCATTACTGTAGTGCTAATGTTATTGGTAAACAAAAGAAATAATACTCAGGGGAATGACACGTGGTCTGTAATGGGAATACAGTGATCATTTTACTTCATTGCTCTTCCTTTTGCTCACAACTGGAACATCAAAACCATGCAAGACTTTTCCTTATAACAACGAAATCAAGAAAGAATAACCCTATCTTCGTATAAAAGATCCGTTATGATACATTTATTGTTGACCTAATAATGGCCTACAAACGTAAAATATTACAGCAGAGAGCTTTCAGTTCATGATCAAAAAATTCAAAGAATGAAGTCAGTATTTTGACTTAAAAAAAGAGCTGGTACAGTAATTACGAATCCTAAGAACAAAACTAAGCAGAGTAGAAAACATACTTGATCTACGAGTGTATTCATGTAAAAATATTACATAACAATAGAGACAAATAGCATTGAACGTAAGCTTTACCTTCATGTTTATCAAGTTGATCATCACCAGCAGACCTCGACGAGATTTGAGTCACTTTGGATCTCTTCTTCACCTGAAAACCCCCTCCAAAAGGCCTTATTCGTTTTAAACTCATTGCAATATTAGAAGCTTTTACTATACTAATATTCTTTGGGTAGTAAAAGATCAAATAAGAAAGGTTTTTCGTAAGAAAGTGATGAATTTTTAAGGACAAAAAATTTGCAGCTCCCGCTTTTGGTGAACAGTCTCCTCGCTTCCAGTAAAAACACAGGAAGCTCAGGATTGCGCGAGCAAACATGACGTTAAAAATTGCTCACCTACCCGATTATAGAACTGTTTTTTGCTAACCCCCAAATTTACATCAGTTTTTTTATGTATTTCCTTTTATTGACGATAAATTGCGTCAGGCCCATTGTCAATTACTGTGGATCCACGAGGCGTAGCCGAGTAGTATAACTTGAATAGTCAATACCGCAGCGCATAAGCCTTTTCTCTTTTCTGAGTTCAATAAACAGGATGCATTGTGGTCTAGCTTTGGCACAAACAACACCATATCAGGCATGATGAACACAAGATGTTTTTACCGAAGCTAGACCACAATGCACCACGTATGGTCTATTTAACGCCAATTTTATATACTGCTTCGAACTAAAGGTCTGATTATACTTCGCCGCGATGGTTGTTAGCTCAACTGTTTTCAAATGTTCCTTGGTTTTTGGATGCACTTTGTTCTTACTACCATCATCACAAGGTACGACACTTTTTGCTCTGGGACTGGACTAGTCGTAAAATCGATATCCGTTTGTAAATTTTTCAGTGCATGTTTTTTTGTGATCATAAAAACCCGTTTTTTGATGTTTCGAAAAATCGTTAGACAGATGTTCTTAATTTTCACTTCGACACTTCATTGGCTTCTGAAGGGGTACAGGGGGAATTAACAAATAAACTACTTGGATTCGTTTATATTTTTGCGCGTGAAAATTAAAATATAGGATCTGATCGACTAGAGCTGGGATTTAGGTCATTGGAAATGGGAAATAGATCGAATCATAGGAACGAGATTTCTCCAAGCAATGTTGGAACCGCACGACAACCATTTTTGCGGAGGATTTACTAATAGAATGTTTTCGAAGTCATAAAAACCACTGTGTTCTTTGGTTACAGACTCATTTACTCGGGGTTAGCCTTATTCCAGTGTCAAAATATTTACAAATACCAACGGTAAAGTAAAGAATGTACAATTTCATAATGCAAACACTTTGAAATTCCACGGACCTTTACTGGAACACGTGAATATTCTAAAAACAAAATGGAGGCTTAGGCTTAGGCTGAGCAAAAAAGAATTTAAAACTATAGTTGCTACTGTTTTGCAAAGGGAAGCGGAGGATTGAGGTGGTTGATTATTTTTGCGGTGGACGTGGATTTAACAAATTCCTCTAATTATCTTAAAATGGTCCGTATTTTGGTTTGATCTATGACGTCACGTAGGCTAGCGGTAAACCTGATGCTATAAAAGGTCTCTATTATTATTTCTTCAACCGACTTCAAGCTGCAAACATCGGTGAGGAATTGCTTAGCTTGCGTAGCGACTCTCAATAATCGTGTGAGGAAAAAATCCGTTCGAACCCATTCCCCCTCCGCTATGCAGGTTAGGATTTGATTATTTTGGAACTTTTTGCAGGGGATTTGACAATTAAGTTCTGAAACAAGCAAACCTACAATGAGAATGATAAAACTGCTGGCCCACAAAAAATGACCCACGAATGAGAACAATTATAAATCTGCGATAAATAGACTCTACTCTCTTATTTTATAAACCAATCGGGAGGAATTGTTAACTTTTTAAGGATAATTTGATTAACTTGTTGTGGGAATGGGATTTATAATTGCAAAAAATTTCAACTGAAAATTTAATTAAGATTCCGACCTGCAAAAAAAATTTTAATTGTTGTTTTTTGTTGTTGTTGTTGTTGTTGTTGTTGTTGTTGTTTTTTGTTTGTTTTGGTTTTGAGTTTCCTTTGGTTAACCCTTTTACTGTTCCGTCACCTAGGCGCATGGCGTAATTTGGTGAGCAGCTGGACAGATTCAGGGGGTCAGTGGACCGGAAGCACACCAACAAGCGATTCAGTATTTCATTTTGGACCTGTAAGAGTTTGGACCCCAGCCATTAATTCTGCAAATTATGGTATGTGAGCCTGAAGACAAATAAGTTTAATTTGCCAATTTTCGTTCTTGATTTCAAGACCACTTGCACTAAATCCGTACTTTGGAGTCAACCCTAGAACGAAAGACGAATTCTTTTGCTTTGACCCCTAGATTTGGAATTAGTAGTGCAAGAGGGTTTTACTTGCTCATTCTAATTCCATGCTTTGCATTTAAGTAATAGAGTGGTTTTAGTCCTTGTTCCGTGAAAAAAATAAATAGTAAGCGTAATACTTAGTATAATAGACTGCGAGAAATCCCCAATTTTCTCTCCAGACTCAGTATTAGACGATTAGACGAGTTTTTAGGATTCCTGTGGACGCGCGCGGCCTCCAAATCAAGGAAAAGGACTCGAGTCGACTGAGTTAAGAGGGAAAAGAAGGACTGTGTCATTCCATTGTTTTCTTTTGTTTTACGTTGACTGTCAGATACTAATTATACAAATTCATTTCATGGGTCAAGCGAAATCACTCTAAGTCAAACTGATTATAGTAGACGATGAGGTAACAAATCAGATGGTGAGTCTTAAAGGTATTAATCACGCTGAACGAAGGATTTTCTTTTGATTCCAGAAATCACCAGCAGAGTATATTCTACTACTGGTATTATCTGTGGACACATGTTTAAGTACAAAACAGGAAGCACGAGAACTCAAAGGTAAATTGACCAAAAGAGGTCTAGTTAGACATGAACAAGGACCATAGAGCTCCCTAAAACGTTGGTGGGCAAGTGGTTAGGTAGAAACAATTTCGCTTTACGGGAACCGATGAAAAGAGAAGCAGTGGGGTTACACGGTAGCCCCTGCCTTTGCACAAGACCCTAGATGTTATCATCATCATCATTATCATCATTATCATCACCATCATTATAAGCATTTCAAAAGGTCTCTAGGGGGAGACCATCTAAATCCATAAAACTGGTGTCAAAAGTTCATTTTTTTGTTTGTTTTTGTTTTTGCTTTATTGTAGTCTCGTTACGAAAGCGTGGGGCTACTACTTAATAAATGGGAATTCGGTTCGAGTCAGCTCTACTGGGATAGAGTACAGCCCTATAGTAAGCTACAGCTATCCTACCAATCAATGGAACAACTTGAGGAGTGTAGTCCTAGGCACTCAAGTAACCATCTACATCAACGATAAGCTGGTGAAACAAGTGAATATGCAGGGCACTGGGGCAGATTCTTCAAGTGATAACTACGTTGGGCTCTGGTGCCATAGCAATACCAATGAAAGGGGTCGGGATTTTAGYGTACAAAAATGTAAGTAAAGTAAATAAAGTAAATAAAATATGTTATAAAATAACTGATATAAATTTCGCGTTCCCTTTGGTTTGGACCGTATGCTTTACGAAGGCATACAGTACACGCGCGCACTTAAACAGTAGCATCAGTCCTATCGATACAATAACGTGAACGTGACGCGCGAGCGTTTTCGATTTCTACATTYGAATTATATTAGTAGAAGGGGTCCAAAGGTACTACCAAGAGAAAACGAACTAAGAGAAGGAATTATTGCGCCCCATCATAGGAATTATTTGACGCTATCTTTAGAATAGGTCTAAAGCTTGGCATTTAAAAAAAAAAAAAACAAACAGGAAAATAAAGTAGAGAATTGCAAATTGAATCAAATTTTCACTTCAACTTTCTTTTTTCCCCCATTTATTTTGCCAAGTTTTAGACCTACGCGGACATCTTCACTGAATGAAGAGTCAAAATTACGTAAATGTTTTTAAACATAGCATCAAACAGTGCGACCCTTTCTTGGGTCATTTTCTTTTGGACTACTCCTAAAAATATTTTAATTGGACATGTTTAGTGCCTGATTGTCCAAAGCTGCCAGCAATTAACCACCTGACTGTTTCGCCATCGAAGTGTGAAACGTCATCTAGTTCTTTTGGTACCACGTGCTCGTTCAGGTGTTCTCGTGGCTTCAAGCTTAACGGCCCTTCAAACAAAACATGTGCGTCGGGTGGAAAGTGGACAGAAGCTGGAGCAAGTGTCAGATGCACTGGTGAGAATGCGGTTTCATTTTTWAAAAAAGTACTATTAATGCAAAGTTATTTTTATGCGAAATGTAGGACCTTTATGAACAAGGGTTGGGTATCCAATTAATTTCACTATTTACCATCATCATCATGGCCATCACCAGCCTCATCATCATCATCATCACCATCGGCATTATGATCATATCATTGTCATCCTTGTAATCACCATCATCATAGTCATCATATCCTCGATCACCATGAACTTATCATCATCATGACTGATCTGATAATGATCTTTATTACTCCATCACTGATGAGATAAAATCTTTTGAAAATAAAGTTATCGAATAGATGTCGACAGAAAAAGCATTCGAGTAGAGAACGATACGGGTATTATGTAAGTCTAATAAGACAAACGATAGCGTCGGCCCATTCCTCCCGGCCTATTTGAATTTAACAGATGTCAATGAGTGTCTAGCGTATAATGGTGGATGTAGTCACGTGTGTATCAACACTGCTGGAGGTTACCGCTGCTCATGCTCGGACCCTGACTTAAGGCTCACAAACGACAATCATACATGTGAAGGTATGTCAACCGTCATGGTATAAGAATAATATTATGATGTAATATGTTGCGCCTGCGTTTGTAGTTTGTATTTACTGACCAATATTAACGCTGCCTCTTACATGAAGCATCAGTAATAAAGCTTTTAAGTTGTAACGTTCCCAGAGATTGGAGCATGCGGGTATTATCCAAGATTGGAGGGATCCCCGCGGGATTTCAAAAGCAGAACTTGATGGAAATGCACCTTTCACCTTGCAATTAGTAGAACTGATCATGTACGAACTGTTGAAACAGAAACACCATCGTTAGAAAACTTTGTATTTCAGTTCCAGATACTCGTGTGACGTGTGGACCAAGCCATATCCAGATCTCTATCCCCAAAGCAAGGCTCCCTGGAGTTGTTGTCCAAGATCTGCATCTTCTTGATCCATCCTGTCGTGCCACTGAAGACTCCACCCACTTTTACCTCAAGACTCTTTTTAACCAATGTGGGACTGTGACCAATAAGACGTCATCTTCCATCACCTACGCGAATAAAGTCATCGAACGACCGCTGCCCAAAAATGTCACCATTACGCGCATCCGGGAACTCGAGGTCTCATTCACTTGCTCTTACTCAAGAAAGAAGGAATTGATAACATCACAGTTCCAGCCCCATAAAAGCAAGCTTATTTTCAACAAAAACGTTCGCGGTAATTTTAGCTTTAGTTTCAGGTTCTATCCGAACAGTTCGTTCCATACTCCGTATGCGGGCAACTTTACAGTTCCACTGCGACTTCGTCAGCCAATGTTTTTTGAGGTGTCAGTTGAATCCGAGAATCGTGAACTCGACGTTTTGGCCCAAGATTGTTATGCGACGCCTTTTAACAGTGTGACTCGTCCACGGCATTGGTTGATCAAGGATGGGTGGGTAGTCCACATTGGCCTTTCCAAGGTTGTGTGAAACTGGTAACGAGTAGGACGCGCGCTGAATCATGGGGCTATTTTTTAGTGGACATCATTTTTCAATATGGCGGAAAGCTTAGTAAACTCTTTTGGGTGGAAAAACAGACCGAAAACTAAAGTAAATACGACTCAATTCGAAAACTAAATCCTGTTGAAAACGAAAAAGACAATTTATCCCATCATTTCGCGCGGGTTCCACTCGTTACCAGTTTTTCGCGCAACCTCGGAAAGGCCAATAGCATGTGAGATTTCGAATGAAAGTAACAGTCTGCAATTGATAAAAGTGTATGCCACACTATACACGGCTTACAGCCACTCAACAGCCTTATTGTGTGGTACTTCAACTAAGAGTGCTAACTGAACGAACTGATACTTTTGATCCACTTCTAGTTGTCTTGTGGACTCGACTTTGAAGGATCTCAACACATCGTCCCCTAGTGTTCAACGGTTCAGTTTCCAGGCCTTTCGCTTTGTTGGAAATTACAGGCATCTTTTCTTCCATTGTCACGTGACTGCTTGTGACGGAAATGACGTCAAGAGCGTGTGCGCTCGTGGGTGTGCTAAAGGAAAGCCGGTCAAACGTAAAGAAAAAAGCCAAAGACGTCGGTTGATGCAAGGTCCGTTTAATCTACAGAAAGGAAATATTTAGAGCGCTTGAATGGATGTAATATAAAAAAGGTATTGAAATTTAAAAGGGAAGATGTAATTTTCAGTTCCAGGATACGACGTCATAAGGAAGAAGTGGGAGATTGGGCATTGCATTGTCTCGTGAGGACTGGGCAAGCATTTGGGTAGCAAGATAACCAACCTCTCTCACTCACTTTTCTGCCTTCCTCTGGGCTTTCTTTATCATTTCCCAAGAGGGTGGGGAGTAAAAAGCGTATCCGATCCCTGTGACTTTAAGAAAGATCTCAAGATTGTTAGTATTATTGATGGAGATGCTAAGTAAACGTTTTCGCTCTTAAAAAAGCGAATGTTGTTATCCTTTTCCTAGACAAACCTTGACTGCAAAAGTATGGCATTGGTCATAACCACTGATAATGACAATGTTTACATATTTTTGTTCCAGGTCTTCAGCTTCAAGCCGTAGAGTGATACACAAGTATACAAAAATAAATAAATAAATAAATAAATAAAAGTAATACCAGACAATTTTCCTTCAAACAATTGTTTCATTTGGGTCAGGGACTCTAATTAAAAAATATATTTCATATATTCAACCATTTTTTAACCAGTTTATTTCCCTAATATATGTTAACTGTACACATTCTTGATAGTATTCCTTTTTCCCATTTTTACACTAAATTATTAGATTCAACCTATGTGTATCAAAATAAAAATAGCTGCATGTGTCATATTGACTCGAGAGTTTTAATTCATGATTTCCCTTGATTCCATAGTCAAGTTCTTGAAGCAGCCTGTGTTTCCTTAAATTGAGGGAGTTTCCGGCATACTTTCGCCGGATTTCGTAGCCCGGTAAAAGAACTTTATTCCGAGTCCCCAGGTTAATACCGCTGTGTTCCTTGATTACAGACTCATTTATATATTCAGGGTTAGACTAGCTCACTTCAGCATCGAAATATTCACAAATACCAACAATAAAGTAAAGAATGCACACTTAACGTCTACATTACAAACACCTTGAATTCCGCGGAACTTCACTGGAACACATGAATATTTCACAAGCCCTAAGCAACAGAGAATTTGTAATAGGAGTATATATATTATAATGGCACGAATAGCATGCTGTTAGTTTAGACAAGATGTACTGACATTCCAACCATGTAAGGAACGTGTAAAGCAGTAGTCTGTATTTTTAATCATGTGGGTGCAATGTTCCTTCAACGCTGGCTCCATCCACAAACCGTTTAAACCGGCTACGAGCACGCCAGCTTGAACAGCGATGGTCAGAAAAGCGCGGGAAAATTCCTTGTAACGCGGGCTCATGTCTTTTCCCGCCAACGCGAACGAGTTGAGATAAAGAGCACCCTCCGTCGACCCGGTTATGAACGTCAGTAACATAACAACCACATAACTCGGTAAAAACCGGTACAAACTACAGAGAATCAGGAAAAACAGGTTTACCATGAGGATAGTTGAAAAAATCCAGGTCTTTTCCGTGACGACCTTCCAATCCGGCTTCCCCCATGAGAGTACCAACCCATACGAGCGACCCAGCAATTCTCCTATCCAGAAAGACATCGTGTAATACTGATAATGATCTCTGGGATCAAAGGGTGACGCTTCAAATGCGATAGTCGTCACTATACCTTGCATTGTAAGATAATCAGCAAAAAGACCAAAGAATAGTGGAACAGCCAGATACATGTTGGCCTTTGATGCTTGGATCTTTTCTTCTTTTGTGAGGCTTTGGTGTATATGATCCAATGGTGATTCTTCTCCTATTCGAGTGTATTCCACGTTGCTTCCCTGTGAGGTGTTGTGTACTCTAGAATGCGAATATTTAGTGACAAACCAAGCAATCAGTGGAAACAGAGGGAGGATGAACACGAGGAAGAGAAGAGCTGTGCTGGGATGGACGCACATGAATGTTGTTAATGCTGTAAGAAAAAATGTTATATTTTAGTTAAATTCGCCAGAAACCCCTCTAAATTTTATCTATACCGCCCCGAAACAGCCTCTGACCGGGCTGATCACGGCTTAGCCTCCCCCGCAGGCATCTCCTTGACTCTTTTTGCTTCTTGGGCTTCCTCTCTCGTTCCTCGTTCCTAGTACTTCTCTGCGTATGGACTTCGGACCTGACGACGGAAATCGCCGGAAAAT